TTTTTTTTTTTGAGACAGAATCTCACTTTGTCACTCTCAGTAGAGTGCCATAGCATCATAGCTCACGGAAACTTCAAACTCTTGGGCTTAAGCGATTGTCTTCCTCAGACTGGTCTGGAACCTGTGAGCTCAGGCAATCCACCTGCCTTCGGGATCTGAGTGCTAGGATTACAGGCAAGAGCCACCATGCCCAGCCCCATCCTAGTCTTAAGAGGAGCTTGGGCTGTGATGGATCCAATGACCTATGAGTCCCATTTGAAGGGGCCTGCAGCAACCGGTTGTGAATGTGCACAGGCTAGTCCTTGTGGGCCGTGCAGCAGATGCCACATAAGCCAGATGTCAGCAGCAGAGAGTCCATGCACTACAACCAGCTCGCGGTAAAAGCAGGGGTCAAAGGTACGGAGATGAGGGGCAGCTGAAGGCTGGGAGATGCCAAAGGTGCGGAAAGCAGGGTGAGGCTCGGGGGTGAGCCGCAGGCGCTGCAGGCACATGCCCAGAAAGACATCGTCGATGGGGAAGAGTTCAACCTGTGCACAGGCACTGGCCAGGCGGCGCAGCGTGGCCCCTGAAAGCACAAAGCCACCGCCACCAGCATAGGCAGGATAAGCTGGCAGGCCATACACGGCTTCAGGGATGTAGTATTTGCTGGTACGTGCACGGATGGGCCGTGCCTGCACAATCACATCACCAGCAAGCAAGTCCTGACCCGGATCCCTCAGTGCCAGGAACTCTAGCAGGTTCCCTACATGCACGAACACATCAGCATCGCCCTTAAAAACGAAGCGCACGTCGGGGCAGAATGCTGAGGCCCAGGCCAGAAAGTGGATTTCCTTAAGTGTGAGGTTGAAAAAAGTGTCGTCGAAGGCCCAGAGCAGGATGTCCTCATATGCTCGACTCTCAGCACGCAGTAGGTCGTGCCAGTGCGTTCGTATGCCCACCCCCATGGTGACTGTCCCGTCTGTGCCCGTGCCCTTGGGCACGCCTAGCAAGAACACACGGCGTATGAGCGACCCCTGCACTCGACCCTCAGCGCCCCACGTCTGGCGCACGGCTTGGCGCCGCTCGAAGTCTGCTGCCACTGATTTGACAGCGATGAGCAGGTCAGGCTGGGCGCCTGGTGTGCCGTCGCCACGACACTTGTGTGGCTGGTTAATGAGCAGCGGAAAGCGCCGCTGGTCCTTAGCTCGCAAGTAGCTGACAAAGTCAAAGGAGCCCGTGGGTGTGGGCGGGGCCGGCGTGTCTTCTTCGTAGGCCGGAGGTGCTGCGCCCACGTCCGGTAACTGGAACGTGCGGGGCCCCAGGGTGGGTCTCGGTGCCGCCCTCCCTCTTGCGTGCGGCGAGCTCGTCGTCGGGGCCGCGCCGTCGCGCTGTGCATAGAGCAGGAGGCCAAGGGCGGTGCTGAGGAGCAGCGTGAGCGACGCGTCCCGCCTTAAGCGAAGCCGCCGCCTCATGTCCGCGTGGCCGGTGCTCACCGTCCCTTCGAAGAAGGGTCGCAGTCAAGGACTCCCGAGTCGGCAGCAGCTAGCACTCCCAGCCCCGCCCTCCCCAAGAGGAGGGGCGGGCAGCCACGCCCCAGGGGTCTCCAGCTACCGGCGGTTTATTCCCCTCCCTTCGTACTCCTGCTCTGGACCCAGGCGCACTCGCTGGGATTAGCAGCCTGAAGGGACAAAAAGTTCCCCCTTGTAACCAACTCCCCCTATCCTCAGCTCCGGCCCAGGACGGTACCCTAAGGCCGGACCGGGACCCGTGGAACCTCAGCCCCACCCCCTCCCGCCTTCCCCGCTCTAAGGCTGAATCCCTTCTACCTTTCCCTGATCCCCATCCAATGTCGGTCTCCGGGATCCCAACTCACGCTCGGCCCTCGGGAGCGGCGCAGCCCCGGATGCCGGGGCCTCCGGGGCTCAGCGCAGGGTCCCAAGGGCGGCCATGGACGAGGCCTGAGCCAAATGCAACGTTGGCAGGAAGGGGGACCCGGCTGTGCCACGTGACCCTCCAGCTGTGCGCGCCAGGACATCTGGAGCTCAGCTCCGCCCCGGCGCCGGGAGTGCGATCTCCGAGTGAGTCTAATCCCTGAGAGGCATCCTCCTCACGGACAATTCTTGCTGGGAAGGCCTGTTCTTGATGATGGCTCTGACTCCCAAAATCTGCCCTTCCAGGGATTGAAAGAAATGGCAACTCCTCTAGTTATCCCCCTCCACCCCTACCATGGTTTCTCTGGAGTGGGGCGGGGCTGGACTGCCGGGAAGCCCTCTGCCCCCCAGCGGCCAGCCCTAAATTCCTGGGGCCAAGCGTCTTAGGCAGCGACTTAGCCACTATCCCCGCCGATCCTTTGGAGCACCTCCCCTCAGCAGTCCTAGTTCCACCAGGCAGGGCCCATAAACTGCCCTGGGCCACACGGCTGCCTCCTCACTCCTTGCTCTGCCATGCCTCCTAGCTCCCGGTAAACAGGCACAGACAAAGCTGCTCATACAGTGTTCACAACCCTGCAGATGGGGACACTGCTCCTCAGCAAGATAAGTGCTAATAACATACCAGGATCTCAGGCAGGAAGGACTGTCCCTCCCTACTCCCCTGTCTCTCCCCACCCCTGTCTTTTGGAATTCAGGATTCTTTTCTCTGTCCTTCCTAACCCCCTCTCATCCATCTCACCCTGCTTTCATTTCACCAGAAAGCACTTCCGCCTGCCTGCCCAGGGACTGATAGACTTGATCCCAGGTGCAGTTCTGAGTCACCTAGTCCCCAGCAGAGCTTCCCTCAGGTAGAGTAAATGACCATGCTTGTGCCATTACAGGCCAGAGTAGGCTGGCAGGGAACGACTCCTGGAGGAAGCCTTTGGTAAGGGTTTGATCTGGGATCCGGGTGGGCAAAGAGGTGCTCTGACATTAAGGTCTAGGTTCTTGCCCAGCTCAGCTGCCATCTCTTTTCTTTTCTTTCTTTCTTTCTTTTTTTTTTTTTTTTTTTGAGATAAAGTCTCAACTATGTCACCCTCAGTAGAGTACTGTGCCATCAGAGCTCACAGCAACCTCTAGCTCTTGGGCTTAATGATTCTCTTGCCTCAGCCTCCCAAGTAGCTGGGACTACAGGCACCTGCCACAAGACCCGACTATTTTTTGTTGCAGTTGTCATAGGCCAGGTTTGAACCTGCCAGCCTCGGTGTATATGGCTGTGCCGTAACTACTGTGCTAGGGGTGCTGAGCCATCATCTCTTTTTTCTGAAGACTCAGGGTCTCTGGGTCCCAGCCCCTGTCATGAAGCCTGGAGTAGACAGCCCCCCACCAGTGTCTATGAGAACAGGCTGCTGGAGACAGCTCCCATCCTACTCAGCACCATTCTTTTCCCAAGGGCTGTGTCTGCTCCTATTGAGGGCATCTTCCCACTAACATTCTCCCTTAAACACCAATACTTAAGGCCACAGACTAGTCAGGAATCCTGGACTCTGGCTTTCTCCACTGCCTCACCACCCACTGCCTCCTGGAGTACAGCTTTGTGCTATTCCCATCATCCTCCAGGATAAGTCCCTACCTGGGACCTCCTTTTAGGAGAATCCAGTGCACACTCCTCAGTCTTAACTAATTTGCAGCCTCTGATATAGCAGGTGGGTATTCCCCTGGCTTCCTGATTTTCTGGTTTTCCTCCTTTCTCTATAGGCTGTCCCTTTTCTGGTTGGTGTCCTTCAGGACCTCTCCCAGGGACTGCCCCCACCTGTTAATTTATTATCTGTTGCTTTGCCCCTTCTCAACTCAGAACTACAAATCAGCTGCCCTCACCCTCTCTCCAAGAGTGTCCAATCATGCTCAACTTGTCCCAAATAGAGCAAGCATTTAGCTTTCCCCAGGACCCCCATCCCAGCAGGCAGTCCTACCCTCCATCAGTGTCACCAGGTCTGTCATTCTTCCTCCCAGCAGCTCTTGGTGTTCAGCCACTTTCCTCCATTTCTGTTGCCACCAGTTCTACCACCTCTCTCTCTTCTCCTCCCTCCCTTCCTCTCTCCTTACCAAACTCCCAGTCTTACCTCCTGAAACCCTTCAGAGGCTTCTCACTGGCCCAGTTATAAAATCCACACATGCTAGCTAGGCACATTGGCTCCTGCCTATAATCTCAGCACTTTGAGGGACTGAGAGAGGAGGATCTCTTGAGCCAGTAGTTGGAGACTGCATGAACTATGATAGCACCACTGCACTCCAGCCTGGCTAAGAGTGAGACCCTGCCTCTAAAAATAAATAAAATAAAAATAAAATCCACATTCTGTAAAATGGCTTAAGAGCCCTCACTCCATCTGCTTTAGCAACTGACCTTGTAACAAATCCACTCACCCCCAGATCCAGCTGCTCTAAACTTTGTGTTCTAACATCCCTCCTCACCTGCCTCAAGGCTTCACCTGAGGCTGGCTGTGCCTTGAGCACAGCTTTTCTCTCAGCACCCCCACCACACACACACACACACACACACACACACTCATCTCTCCTAGAAGCCCAACCCACAGTCTGGGTTAGGCCCCTCCTTCATGTTCCCATAACTCCTGGTTTACTTCACATCAAAAAAGGGTTACACTTTATTTCCATTGCTTAATAATGTTGGTACCACACTGTGTGTGAGATGGGGGCAGGCCAGAATCATTTATCTTGCTCACCACAGCATCTGCAGCACCCAGGATGATGCCTAGGATACCCAGGGGCCAGTGTTTAATGAGTGAAGTAAACACCAGCTTCAAGTCCTTCTTGGATAGGAGAGGGTGAGGCTGACCTCTGCAGCAGGTCACCCAAACGCTATCTCCAGCAAATTATATGGGGGCAGAATCTCCCATGGTATACCCCAGACAGCTTGATTCCTGGGGGAAGCAACTCTACCCCAGGAGCTCCAGCAGAGAGGCAAGTGAGATTGTAAGTGTGGTCTCAGAGTCCCGTGCATAGACAGGGGGCCCTGGATAGCAGCAGAAGGGACCCTAGTGTCATCCAGGTGCTCCAAACCTCTGGCTGAGCACCTGGCCTAGACCAAGCCGTCATCGGGACTGGCCAGGCCCAGCAAGTCCTCTGCCAGACTGGTGAGCTCGTTCTCCTCCAGCGCCTCCACCAGGCGCTGCAGCGTGGCGCGGCGGCCCTCGGCTTGCACGAAACGCCGCAGCAGCTGGAAGGCCTGCTCGTACAGCCCTTCACGCTCATACTCATAGGCCAGCGAGTCCAGCGCCGGATCCCGGAGGGCGCGACAGCTCCGCTGCAGTGAGCGCCCTACCTTGCGCCATTTGAGGCCCACAGAGCGTGCAAATGTCTGCTGGTCTTGCAGGCTCAGCGGCCGGTTCACTGCGGAATAAGTGAGCAAGCAGATGAACGCCGGACACCCTGGAGCCAGCACCCTCCCATTCCCGCCTAGTCCTCGTTCCTCCCTGCTCCAAATTCCCTGTGTGCCTAATCCTAACCCTCACCTATGGGTTGACCCTGGAACAGAAAAGTCTGGCCAGACGGTGGAGGCGCCTTCTCCGAGAAAGAGGGGACCGGGGACTGCGAAGAACCCTGAGCTACCTCCGTGTTGCTACCATGGCCACCTGAGCCGAACGTCAGATTCCGCAGTGCATCCTCCAGCTCAGCGAGCTCCTCGTCCCGGAGCCGGTCGGGCTAGGGGAAGGAATGCGCGGTCAGTGGAACCTTCGGCACGAATTCCCGCCCTATCCCATCCTGACTCCAGGCCGGCCGCACCTTCTGAGCTAAGATGCTATTCAAACAGCGCTCTTCATCCGTTAGCACCGCGTCGAGCCGCTCCGCGCCAGCCCGCAGCTCCAGTTGCAGCGGCACAGTATGATGGGCCAGGGCAGCCGCCAAGCCCCTTTGCAGCGCAGCGCGCAGTGCCCCCTCGCGGTAGTCGCGGAGAAAGCGTCCGCAGGACTGGCTCCCGCAAAATCGCAACTGCACTATCAGCTGCGGATCGCTGCGGTGTATCTTGAGTATCTGCAGCACCTCTGGGCTCCCGCCGCTTTCTGCGGAAGTGGGCAGTCAGGTCCAGCGATCCCCAAGAGCAGCCCTTCTCCACGCGGCCGTAGGAGAGGCAACCCCCCCGTCCCCATCCCCTGATCTGGTGTACACGATTACCCTAGAGTACCCAGCTGGGAAACAAAATTGGGATGCAAACAGCAATAACGCAGAAGGAAGTCCAAGACCTATCACAGGTGCACTCCAAAACAGAGTGACCGCCACCTAGCCGCATTTCTGACACCTCATATTAGGGTAGGCAAAGGGGAGGGACTTTGCAGCATAGAAAAAGACCTGTGCCCTGGACAGCCGTGCCGCGTAGGCAGGCAGCCCGCTGGGCAGAGGAAGAGTAAGAGGTCTCAAGTCTTCAGCCTCTACCAAGTGCGGGTCCCGCTGCTCAGGAAGGAGAGGGGTTGCCGCTGCTCTGGGGCCAGGAACAGATCCCACAACCCGCTTCAGCCTCCTGTGGCCTCTGCACTGAGATGGGAAAGGGGGACTGGAAGGGCAGGTATGGGGAGGAGTCTTGGGCAAGGAGTGCTGCAGTGAGAGAGGAAAAGAGGAGAGAAAGATAGCCAATTACTAGAAAGGAGGGAGCCGGCTGGTCTGAGGTGGGGAATGTTAGTGCGCAAGTAGGTAGATCATACACGGACATGGGGATCTGTCCATGTATGATCACAGGGACACAAGCCATAAGCAAAGAAGGAGCCTACACAGCTGGGGTCTTCTGCCTCCCTCCCCAGCACTCTCCACCCCCAATCCCCACCAGATCTTTTTCCTAATGGTGTCTAAGCCTAGGCTTACCAAGGACCTGGAACCTGAGTCCTGCCCTGCCCTACAAAAGGCCCCAGGTCACCTCTTCCTGTCCACATGCCCCCTGCCCCCAACGCACCTGCCAATGCAGTCTGCAGAGCCCTGTACACTGCCACCTTCTGCTGGGGGTGTGCGTAGGCATCCGACAGGACCACCTTGTCCAGCGAGGACTTCACAAACAGGTAAGCGCTGCCCACCCACTCTTCATGCCCGTTTTGCCCAGCCGCCATCTCACCTCCTAGAGATGCAGACAGTCAGGCATCCAGGTCATCCCCCAGCCCTGGAGACTGTCTAGTCCCATGTGGCTCAGCTGTCTCCTTCATGGTAGGCTTAGGCTCAACTAGCTGGCACACTTGGGACAAAAGTCACCATCTCACAGGCAGCCCCTTATGCCTCTGACTCTGCACAGAGCCCTCAGAGAAAGAGCCTAGGGCCTCAGTGGAGGGAAAGTAGAGGTAGATCCTGCAGTGGGGCTTCTCTGCCTCCTGCTTAGGCCAGTGTGCCTCTCTTACAAAGCTGATAGGAGACATCTTCATTCTGGATGGTGCCCATGCCCATGCCCCAGAGCCAACCAGATCCATGTCCTGAACTTGAGCCCCCAGTATCACTGAAAGGGCCCTGCCCCACCATTAGGTTCTTTTACCTGCATTCCCACTAAACCTACTGGCTTCAGAGAAGGACACCTGTAATATGTATCTATCCAGATCTCTCCCCAACACTTACCTTTGTGGACTTCTTCCTCTCTTCTCAATCCATGTGCTATGTCCCACTCCCTAGCTCTAAGTCTGGGCTTGTGTACCAAGCCTGGCCAATTTGCATATCCGTTTACCCTTCTGCAATGAGTAGTTCAAGTTGGGTCAATGAAAATCAACTTGCAATTATGACTGGACCAATAGGAAAGAGGTACTAATTTCCCTTCTCTTGGGGCTGAACTGGAGGAAAGGAAGGGTAGGTCTCCTTGCCGGTGCTTGGAAAGAATCTGAGAATAAGAGAAACACAGAAAGAAACAGAGCCAAAAGATAGAGGTGCACTCCTACCCATTCTATGGCCCAGGATCCAGCTGTCTCTAACACCTAGACTTTTCAGTTATATAAATGAAATCATTCCCTTTATTATAAAACTCCTGGAGTTGGGCTCTTATCTTATCCAACTCAAATTTTTCTTCTATAGATTCCTTCCCTGTCCAGATAGAGTCAAGATCCCAATCTCTAAAAATAAAAAAAAAATAGAAAAATTAGCCAAGATTGGTGGTGCACACCTGTGGTCCCAGCTATGGGGAGGCTGGGGCAGGAGGATTGCTTGAGCCCAGGAGATAGAGTGAGGTTGCATTGAGCTATGATCATGTCACTGCACTCTAGCCTGGGCAACAAAAAAATCAAACCAAACAACAACAATAAAAAAAACTCCTATCCCTAAACCATGGAGGCAAACTTCCCAGCCAGGGAACCATGGCACTAACTAGCAGCTTAGTAGTCTCCCAGTTACTGTCTCATGGGTGGCAGGTGGAGAAATGCCCTTTCTTTTCTCCTCACCTTAGTAGTGGCAAAATCTCACCCTTTTCCTAGAATTGGAGGCTCAAGGCCTTATCTCCTGTCCCATCAGTCACAGTCCTGTACTCTGTGGTCTTTAGTATTTACATATGTTGGGCTATGAGCTCCAGCTATGGGCAGGACAGATGTGGTAGCCTAAGCTGGCACTTATTTACATGAGGAACAGGGAGTTTCAGGGGAGGAGGTACAAGAAGGAACCAGGACTATACCTTGTACATCGTTCAGGAGGGATTCCGAGCTCAGAGCAGAAGCTACATTTCAGATCTGCCCCCAGACCCTAACCCAGCAGTTCTCAACTTGTGGGTCGTGACCCACAGGAACTGTATTAAAGGGCCTCAGCATTAGGAAGTTTGAGAACTACTGCCCTAACTAAGGGACAAAGCTGAGAGCATAACTGAGCAGGTGCCCTGCAGCATCACTGAGCCCCTGGCAAGAGAAACAATATCTGGTGATGGCACTACCCTGGGTGTGAGTATAAGGGATACATCCTCTGGCACCCCACTCCTCCAGCCTTCTCATAGAAAACATATCAAAACTTGTCCATTTACCTAAAATGACAGTTTGGAAATTAACAGGAAGCTAGTATTGTGTTTATTGCCAGGGAGTGGTAGGATAGACGGACAGGGAAAGGATTTATGGTGGTTAAAATTAACAGGAAGCTAGTATTGTGTTTAGAGCTAGGGAGTGGTAGGATAGATGGACAGGGAAAGGATTTATGGTGGGTTTTATGTCCTTTCTATTTAGCTATATTTAATACTTTATGTAGACACATTTCTTTTGTATTAAAAAGGCAAAATAAGGCCAGGTGTGCTGGCTCATGCCTGTAAATCCTAGCACTCTGGGAGACCTAGGTAGAAGGACCATTTGAGGTCAAGTGCTCCAGGCCAACCTGAGCAAGATTTCATTGCTACAAAAAAAAAAAAAAATCCAAGTGGACAGTGCCTGTAGCCCCAGCCACTTGGAAGGCTGAGGCAAAAAAATTGCTTGCAGTGTGAAGTTGCAGTGAGCTATGATGATTCCACTGCACTCTAGCCCCCTAGCCCAGGAGACAGAGGGAGACTCTGTCTGAAAAAAAAAAAAAGGCAAAATAAATGTCTTTCTTAAAAAGCAAAATAAAACAAACAACACATGGAGTAGAACTCTGCAAGTGACAAGTGGGTCCAAGAGCATTAGTTGAGCCAGTCAAGGAGGTGGGACAAGTGGAGGTGGGGGGGGGGTTGGCCTGAGCAGTGGCCCGGGGAAAGAAAGTGGGAACCTACCCTGGACCCCAGACTTGGGAATATTGACCTGATGGATGTGGTCTCACCCAAAAGGATGGAAGTGGGTATGAAATGGGACCTGAGTCTGCCTATCAGGTCTGCCAGAGAGTACTGGAGCCTGGGATGGGGTATGCTCCATCATACTAGTACACAACAACTGGGGGAAGTCAGCAGCATTGGAGGTGGAGAGCTCAGTGAACAAGGTAGAGACAAGACCAGGGGCCCTCGTTTTCCCTCGTTTCCTTGGTAACTCCTTCCACGTGTCCTTCTACAGGGTCCCGCTCCTTGGGAAGCCCCATGCCCCACCCACCCTGACTCCGCCCCTCTTCGGGCGGGGCTGAGGCTTTCAGGCTGAGTCCCGAAAACGCTTAGTGGGCGAAGACTTTGCGCGACACCAGGGTACAGACCTAAGAACAACTGTCCCTACCACCGGGAGTGAGCCAGGCACCTCACCCCACTAAAACAACAGTCCCAGGGCAGCCCACCTGGCTGGATGGGCAGGGATGGTCTATGGGAGTGGCACAAGGACTAAAAGCTGGCGACTCCCTGCGACCAGGCGGGCGCGCCCCCTACTCAGCAGCGCTGCTCACGAGCTCTCGTGCTTCCCACTAGCCTACCTTCGCATTTCCGTTCAGCTAAAGTGGTCAGGGGATCTCGGTTCATATAAGTGTTCATAATCATTCCCGCTGCCCCCTCCCCCTGCCCTCTCACCTGCAGGGCCCTCCCCTTACCCCCGCCCCACCTTGAAAGTCCTCGGCTGGGAGAAGGAACCTGTGTGGGGATCAAGTCCCCTACCCACCCCCACCTTCCACAGAAACAGACCAATAGGCCGCTGCCGCCAGCTGGGTGGGGCAGCTACGAGTGACAACTGCCTTGTGCCCACGCTTAGGCGACAAGATCCGCCTCCGCTCTTGCCTGCACCGGGAAGCCCACTCACCCTCTGCACTAACCTGACCACCTCGGCCGAGCCTGGGTTCCCACACTGGCCAGGCTCCGCTCCACTCGCGACGCTTCCGGGTGTGCGCGGAGGCACCGAGGCGGTGCCCCAGCCTGGGCCGCCCCGTCCGCCCGCGCGTTCCGCCCCTCGGGCTCCGGGCCTGTCCTTCCCGCCCCCCTGCCCTTCTGGACCCGTCTCCAACCCCTGGCAAACACCATCAGGTCCGCTGAGCAGGTAAGACACTGGTGCCCAAGGTTAGACGGCAGGAAGAACTGTCTTTGGGACGAGACTCTGGGGGTTTACGGTTCTGAAGAGGTCAGAGCGCCTCAGAGTGAGAGCTGCCAGACTTCCCCCAGCCGGGAACAGATGGATCAACAAGGGGGCGCCCCCTGGAGACCAGAATTTTCTGGCGCTCCCTGAGATGAGGCTTGATGGTCTCTGATCTTTGATACTTCCAGGCACTCAAAACCGGGTGCCAGTGGATTCCAGGTACAGTCGCAGCTGAGGTCCTCGGAAGTCCCAGGAGAGACCATTAGCCTGGAAGATTGGGAAAATTAACTAGCTAGTGGTGTGAAATATGTACGCAAACCTTCATTCACCTTAAAACAAAACTGGCAACTTCAAAGAGGATGCAGTTTCCAATGACCCCAGACCTCTTTAAAAGCTGCGCTCCAGGGTGGGTCTGCAGAGTTCCGGCCGAATATAAATTGCCCAGCGGGAGCTAGGGATGCTCAAGGGTCAAAGTCAGAACTTGAACCTTGAGCCCCTCAGACTCAGAGCCACCAGGCCCCAGAACTTCAAGTCTTTCTGCGCCCTTTGGGACCGTCTTAAGAAGCTCCTGGTACATCCCCGGGTTAAGGCTGAGGCAGAAAGGGAACCGCCCCTCTCTGGGCGGATCCAGCTGGGCCCTCCCTGCCGGGCTTCCTGATTGGTTCGTGGTCCCTGACAATTAGGTCTTCACTACTGCGCCCGCCTTTACTTTTCTTCTTTTTTTTTTTTTTTTTTTTGGGCAGAGTCTCAAGCTGTCACCCTGGGTTACAGTGCTGTGACGTCACAGCTCACAGCAACCCCCAACTCTTGGGCTCAAGCGATCCTCTTGCCTCAGTTTTTCTATTTTTTTTTTAAACTGTCCTGAGCCGGGTTCGAACCCGCCACCATTGGTGTATGTGGCCGGCGCACGGCCGACTGAACTACAGGCACTGCCCTGCTCCCGTCTTTTCTTTTTCTTTTCTTGTCTGTCTTTCTTTCTTTTTTTTTTTTTTTTGACAGAGTTTATGCGATTCTCCTACCTTAGCTGTGCGCCCACCACAATGCCCGGCTATTTTTTTGTTGCAGTTTGGCCAAGGCCGAGTCCGACCCCAACACCCTCGGTATATGGGGCCAGCGCCTTACTTACTGAGCCACAGGCGGCACCCCCTGCTTCTGCCTTTTCAACCTTGTAGTCACTCTCTGTGACTGGCAGGGTTAGAATGGGGTTTTTCAACTTACAACCTGTGTTGTCACCTGGAGCTTACTGAAATTCAGATTCCTCAGCATTAGACTTTCCAGAGAGCCTGATTTAGTACATGGGCCCGTAAAATCTGAATTGTGAAAAATATCTGGATATTCTGATGCCCCACACCATCTGAGAGGCCCTCACTTCTGACCTTGGCCCAGTTCCTTAAGTCTGGAAGTCCTTAAGTCTGCCTGCTGGGCAGCTCTGAGTGTGTGGTAGAGGGGTAGGAGGAGATGGGCTCTTTGAGCATCCTCCCACATAGGTGGGGGTTGCCATTCCTTATAACAGAGAATAAAATATGGATTTGTTCAACAAGTGAGAAAGTAGTTTAAAGGAGAACCAGAAACCCTTGGTATCTGGGACTGACTTCATGGGCCTAAGACCTGTGCAGCTGGCTAGAGTCCCATACTTGGCTTCATACTTGATTAAAAGCTCTGCTGATGCTGTCCTGAAATTCTTAATAATGTCATAAACAGGAGTCCCCCACATTTTCATTTTGCACTGGGCTCTATAAACCAATGTAGCAGCTCCTAGGCCACAGCACTTGTATGCTTATTCCTAGGCTCCAGTGTCCCCAAGACACTTTGGGCCTTCCTGAACCCAATAACATCCCTCTCTCTCCAGGCCAGAGCCAACAGCCCCAGAGGCCCCACCCAAGCTGGGCCATGGCTGAGCCTAGAGGGCAATTGCCAGAGGAGGTGCTAGTGTTCATCTTTCGCCATCTGCCCCTGAGGGACCGTGCTGCTGCTGCCAGGGTCTGCAGGGCCTGGGCCATGGCTGCCACCTGCAGCACTGTGTGGCATGACACCAACATCAGGTGAGCCTGCTCCCTCACCTTCTGCCTCCTGCCTCCCACTCCCTCCTTGCTGTCTATGGAGCTGAGGATTGCAGAGATTCAGTGATTCACTCATACTAAAAAACATAATATTAGCATTTATTGACTACGTACTATATATGTGTGCCAACCATAGTTTTTGAGTGCTTTACATACATTAATTCATTTAATCTTCATGAAAAACCTTGTGTGGGGGAGGCGCCGGTGGCTCAGTGAGTAGGGTGCTGGCCCCATATACCGAGGGTGGCCGGTTCAAACCCAGCCCCGGCCAAACGGCAACAAAAAATAGCCGGGCGTTGTGGCGGGTGCCTGTAGTCCCAGCTACTTGGGAGGCTGAGGCAGAAGACTTGCCTAAGCCCAGAAGTTGGAGGTTGCTGGAGCAACTCCACTGCACTCTACCGAGGGTGAAAAAGTGGGACTCTGTCTCTATAAAAAAAAAAAAAAAGAAAAGAAAAGAAAAACCTTGTGTGGCAGTAGTATTATCATCTCTATTGCACAGATAGGAAACCAAGGTAGAAAGACTCAATCACCTCCCACAAGTCACTACGCTAGGGAGTGGCAGAAGCAGAATTTGAAGTTAGCAGTCCCAAGGCCATGCCTGACTCCTTAGAAACAGCTGAGAAAGAAAGCCCAATTCCTAAGTATACTTGGCTTTCCATGCCAGGGTTTCCACTGAAGTCTTCTAAAAGGATAGGATGGAAGTTTCCTCTTGGTACCAGTAGCTGCCTTGGGGCAACAGGCACGGTCTGGAGTGGGGGCAGGAGGTGGGATGGTAGCTGGAACCCCAGCTCAGAGGTGGATTCTCTCCCAATCTCGGTCTCGGGGACACACAATGCCTTTTTTACACCGCTCCAACACAAGTTGCAACCGTGAGAGGGAAGACATGCTGCCGCCACATATGTCTGCCTGCCTGAACCACATTCGCAACCTACGACTGGAATTTGAGCCATCGAGGAAGCCAAGCCGCCAGACGGCCACCGAACTGTTGACCGAGCTGGCGGGCCGTGCCTCGGGGCTGCGAAGCCTGCGCCTGGAATGCCGCGGAGAAAAGCCGCTCTTCGATGCCGGCCGAGACGTCCTGGATGCAGTGCACGCTGTTTGCGGGAGTGCCCGCGAGCTGCGCCATCTAGACCTGCGACGCTTGCCCTTCACGCTGGACGACGCACTGGTGCTGAAGGCAGCAAGTAACTGCCCCGAGCTCCATAGCCTTTTTCTGGACAACAGTACGCTGATTGGCAGCGTGGGGCCCGGCTCCGTGCTTAAGCTACTGGAGGCCTGCCCGCACCTGCGCGCCCTCGGACTGCATCTGGCCAGTATGTCGCGCGCCTCCCTGGAGGTTCTAGCCGCGCCGGACCGCGCGCCTTTAGCTCTCCTGGCCCTGCGGTGCGCGTGCCCTGAAGATGCACGCGCGTCCCCTCTGCCCAACGAAGCCTGGGCCGCGTTGCGCCGCCGCCACCCTGGGCTGGAGGTGGAGCTGGAGTTAGAGCCTGCGCTGCCTGCCGAAATTGTGACGTGCGTCCTGCAGCCAGCAGTGCCAGTGGCTGCGCTGCGCCTCAATCTCTCCAGCGACACGGTAGGGCCAGTGCGCTTTGCGGCGCGCCACTACGCCGCAACCCTGCGCGCGCTCGAGGTGCGCGCCAGCGCTTCCGCCGAGCTGGACGCTGCGCTCGAAGAGCTAGCGGCGTGCTGCGCTGGCCTGCGCGAGGTGCACTGCTTCTGCGTAGTGAGACCCTCTGTGCGGGACGCTTTCTGCGCACACTGCCCGCGCCTGCGTGCTTACACGCTCAAACTAACGCGCGAGCCCCATCCCTGGCGGCCCACGCTTGTGGCATGAGTGGGCAACCCCTCCTCTCTCCCAGACATGTGAGACCTCTGAGATGCGAAACGGGGGTGGCCCGGCCCTCCCCTACTGCTAGCCCCTTTCTTCGCGATTGTGGCCTCCTGTGCCTCTCTGGGATTGGGAATTATGGAATGGCGTTGGGACCAGTCCAGGGCACCCTGAGTTCACTCGGTGTTATTTTTGTTTGTTTGTTTTTGTTTTTGTTTTGAAACAGAGCCTCAAGCTATCCCCCTGGGTAGAGTACTCTGGCATTACAGCTCACAGCAACCTCCAACTCCTGGGCTTAAGCAAGTCTCCTGCCTCAGCCTCCCAAGTAGCTGGGACCACAGGCGCCTGCCACAACACCCAGCTATTTTTTGGTGGCAGCCGTCGTTGTTTGGCGGGCCGGGCTGGATTTGAACCCACCACCTTAGGTGTATGTGGCTGGCGCCTTAGCCACTTGAGCCACAGGTGCCGAGCCTTTATTTTTGTTTTGAGACAGTCTTACTTGGTCACCCTCGGTAGGGTGCCATGGCGTTTTTTAGCTCACAGCAACCTCAAACTCTTGAATTCAAGCAATCCTCCTGCCTCAGCCTCCCAAGTAGCTAGGACTACAGGTGCCTGCCACAACACCCGGCTATTTTTTTGAGACAGGTTCTCGCTCTCTCGCTCTAGCTCAGGCTGGTCTAGAACTCTGGAGCTCAGACGATAGCACTATTTTACCCCCCACCCCCAGGGCTAGGATTACAGGCGTGAGCCAGGGGACCCTTCCTCCACTTGGTGTTAGCTGTTAGCAACTTCCGCAGACGACCGCCTGTTCTGACCGGATTGGGCAGCCTCCCACCCCTACCACTCTCCGGACTGGGCGCCAGCTCAGAGGGGAGACAGGGCACGGTTGCCCGCGAGGCGTCAAGGATGTGTGAAATAAACAAATGCTTCATAGTGTCTCCGTGTCTGGTGAAAAGCCGGATTGGCTCTGAAGTGGGAGGGTGGGGAACACGCAGAGGCCGGACGAGCCGTCCTGGCAGAGGTGGAAAGTCTCTTCAAGGTCCGTTGTACCAATGAGCCTGCAGCGGTCAGGGTCAGAGTATTCAGCACCCTTGGAAAGACTATGTTTCAGGGTCCGGCGGGAGGGGGGCAAGTGCCGCGGTCCTCCATCCTATCTGCCCGTCCTACCTGGAGCTTCACTGTGCCCTTGGCCATCGCCCTCTAGGACTTTACCAGCCCACACCAGTATGGACACGTGCCCTTTCTCCCCCCAAAATAAAGAAAGGTGGGACTCGAACTAAGGTCTCTCTCCCTTCTCCACGCCACCCTACCCCTAAGCTCCACACACTTCGGGTCCAGCTAGCCCTTTCTGTCTGCTGGTGCCACGGCTGCTGTCCGACCCCGCCCCGCGGGCTCGCACGTGGCCCCCGCCTGACCTGGCGGACGGGGGCGGAGTAGGGCCCAGCGGGCGGCAAACGCAGCACTTTCCGCCGCTTTGACCAGGCTAGTGCGGCCGGGCCGAGAGCTGAGCCGGATGAGACTGCACCATGCAGGAAGTGCCAGCCGCGCTGCCCACGGAACCAGGCCCCAGCCCCGTACCAGCCTTCCTTGGCAAGCTATGGGCGCTGGTGGGCGACCCAGGCACCGACCACCTGATCCGCTGGAGCCCGGTGAGGGCTGGGGCCCCTTAACTCCCCTAGTGGTCCTCCCCCGGGTCTCTCCACATCAATGAACGTCCATGGCCACCCAACCCCCACCTGGGACTGGGCTGTGGTTCCCGCAATACAGCCATCCAGGGTAGTTCACCTTGGAGGGAGTGTGAGAGATGGGGGTGAGGCGACTTCTTTTGCCGCCAAGGAAGAGTTAGGAGTTCCCTGAACACCTAGCGCCTGAGGGATCTTAGGTCATTGAGATTCCACTCCACCCCATCCGGAAAACAAGAGGCCAAAAGAAAGAAGGGGATGGTCTGGTTGGAGCTCAGGGTCACGTCGAGGGTCTGGGACCCGCCCCGGGCTAGAACCCGAGCCGGCCTCAGCTCCTCGATTGTGAGAACTGTGTACCGAGTGTGGGTCTGATGGGGGTAGGGACTCACTGTGGTGGCCCCAGGCTAGGCCTCGGAGCTGGTTCTGGCCTGGCCTCGTCCCATATGGAGATAAGCGGCAAGCCGGGACCCAGAGTGGGTGTGTGTGCGTGAGCGCCAGAGCGCGGGCCTGGCCGTGGGCGGACACCACTCACAGGGTCTGGTCTCCGCCTGCACGGTGGGCGGGCGGCATTCTCAGTAGAGCGGGACCAGTTTCCTCGTTAGCGATCAGAGCCGCTTCGCCAAGGAAGTGCTGCCCCAGTATTTCAAGCACAGCAACATGGCTAGCTTTGTGCGACAACTCAACATGTGTGAGTCCTCAGGGGCAGCGGGAAGCGGGTGTGGGTGACATGGTACTGGGGATGGGGCGACTTACACCCCCATGGCCCACTCGCCAGACGGTTTTCGAAAGGTGGTGAGCATCGAGCAGGGCGGACTGCTCAGGCCGGAGCGCGACCATGTTGAGTTCCAGCACCCTAGCTTTGTGCGCGGCCGCGAGCAGCTCCTGGAGCGCGTACGGCGCAAGGTGCGGGCGGCCTGCGGGAAGGAACAAACCCAAATAGGGGTGTTGGGACCGCCCGCCTGATTCAGTACGACCCTATCCCGACTGTGCCTCCCACCCGCAGGTGCCCGCGCTGAGAGGCGACGATGGCCGCTGGCGCCCCGAGGACTTGGGCCGACTACTGGGCGAGGTGCAGGCTTTGCGGGGCGTGCAGGAGAGCACCGAGACGCGGCTGCGGGAACTCAGGCAGTACGGGAGGCGGAGGCGGGGGAAGGCGAGGCTGGGTGCTGGGGTAAGAGGGCTCTGCCGCAGCCCCTTCTACGCTTGGGCCTTGGTGTCTCTCCATCCTGACAACTGGGCTGAGCTGTGAAATTCTGGTCTCTATAGGATAGATGATCCTGGGGTAGTGGTGCGTGTCTGGCATTTGGCGGGGGTAGGGGGCAGTGATTGGGAGAACTCTCAGATGCCTCAGCACCCTCTCACCCTTTCCCCTAGGCAGAACGAGATCTTGTGGCGAGAGGTGGTGACTCTGCGGCAGAGCCACGGTCAGCAGCACCGGGTCATTGGCAAGGTGTTCCTCTCCCACTATCTGGTTTCTCCTCCACACTACACCCCCTTAGCCCCTTGCCCCCCCCCCCCCCCCCCCCGGGCCCGGCCCCCCCCCCCCCCCCGTCCTAATGAGCCACTTACCTCCTCCTTCCCCCACACTCCTGCACCCTCCCGGAAGTGCCTTGCTAAGCCCTGGGGTCAAGGCCTGAAGTACAAATTAGCCCTTTGCTTTCTCTTCAGCTGATCCAGTGTCTCTTTGGGCCACTTCAGGCGGGGCCCAGCAGTGCGGGAGCCAAGAGAAAGCTGTGAGTGAGACAGCCAGGGGTGCTCACACCCACTTCCCTACGTCCAAGACTCTCACCTACAGAGGTCCTTAGCAGGAACACCTCCACAAACTCCTTCCCCAGGAATCCTCACTCCTCTCCCTGCACTATAGGCTCCCTTACTCCCTCTTCTTCTCCCCTCAACTCAACCACCAGGTACCCCCACTTCCAGATCCACTGTTCCAGGACCTTCGCCCCAAATCTCCACCCAGCAGCTCATTTCTCACCATCCCCCCAAAGCTTCCCAATGGCAGAGAGCCTTGGGCTCACACTATGCTCCCTTCCTCACCTCTCTACCCCAAAGGGCCCCCATCTCTGGGGGGAGCCCCTTCCACCTCCAGCATGTGACTGATGCCCTGGCAACGGGGCCTCAGCTCTGCTGACTTGGCTGCTGGGGCCTGAGGGAGGGAGGGAGGGAAGTGCAGGCTGAGGGGCATGGGGGCTGAACCTGCTTATGTCCTGGTCACCTCACATAGGTCTCTGATGTTAGATGAAGGGAGCACATGCCCTGCACCTGCCAAATTCAATGCCTGCTCCCTACCTGGCACTCTCCTACAGGACCCCTACTTCATCCAGTCGGTAGGTTTTTCTTCCCCCTTCCCTAGGTCATATTTGGGCTTATGGAGAGCCCATTCTCTCTCCCCATTCCCCCAAAAGAAGAAAGGATGGAAGCCAGCCTTTCCCCCAAACAGACCCAGGCTCCCCAGCATGGACTGAGCCTCCTCCCTCAAACCTTCTTTCTAAGACCTGGTCCAGGTGGGTGTGGGTAGGGTGCTGGCTCTCCCTGTGCCTAGAGGCCAAGGGCCCGGCCTAGCCTTTCTACTTACAGCCCCTCCCAGAGGCTACCTTGGGACTTAGCCCTCACAGGGCCAGGGGCCCCATCATCTCTGACATCCCAGAAGACTCCCCATCCCCTGAAGGAACCAGGCTTTCTTCCTCCAGTGGTGGCAGGAGGTAAGGAGGACAGGAACTGCCTTCTGGGGAGCTTGTGGGGGAGGGCCAGGCAGCCCAGATGGCTGTGGGGATAGGGGGAGAAGTCAGTGTCAGGGTCTGGTTGAAGCTTTTCTCCGGTGCAGGGAGAAGGGCCTGGCACTGCTCAAAGAAGAGCCGGCCAGTCCAGGGGGGGATGGCGAGGCCGGGCTGGCCCTGGCCCCAAACGAGTGTGACTTCTGCGTGACAGCCCCCCCACCACTGCCTGTGGCTGTGGTACAGGCCATCCTGGAAGGGAAAGGGAGCTTCAGCCCCGAGGGGCCCAGGAGTGCCCAACAGCCTGAACCAAGGGACCCCAGGGAGATAGCTGACAGGTGAGCAGATCCCTTTTTGATGGTAAATCCTGTGAGCCATTTTTGCAGATAGACCAGCATGTGCCAACCTACCCTCTAGGTTTGTCTTCTGCATGGTGCCTAAGGGGGGGGGGGATTGGTCACTTGAGTCTACGGTACTAACTTGGTTTCTCAGAGTGTGCTCTAAAGAGTACAAATAGAGGCTCAGCGCCTATGGCTCAACCAGCTAAGGCGCCAGCCACATACACCTGAGCTGGTGGGTTCGAATCCAGCCTGGACCCGCCAAACAACAATGACGGCTGCAACCAAAAAACAGCCGGGCGTTGTGGTGGGCCCCTGTAGTCCCAGCTACTTGGGAGGTGGAGGCAGGAGAATCGCTTGAGCCCAGGAGTTGGAGGTTGCTGTGAGCGGTGATGCCATGGTTCTCTACCCAAGGCGACAGCTTGAGGCTCTGTCTCCAAAAAAAAAAAGAGTACAAATAGAGTTCCCTGGAAAGTAAAAACTCCTGGTCAGATCAGCATCTCTGTGGAAGGGCTCAGGAATCTATATTTTATAAAGGAGTTTGCCAGTGTGATTTGGAAAGTACACAACAGTTAAGAACCACTGGTATTGACACTTGCATAACAAGGAGACATGTCCCAAGACCCAGCTCCACAACCCAAATCTCAGGTTCCAGCTAAGAAGCAAAGGTGCTCTCTAAGTGCTCTATGAGGGAAGAGGATCCTCTCCTAACATTTTCTAAATGTTGGGGGATTTCAATCCTGATATATCAGTTCCTTGGAAACCTCATGTAGGGTGGGCACTGCAGGCCATCAGCACTTCTCTGTGCACAGGGGGCCTCTGGGCCTGGAGAGGGGGGACCGAAGCCCAGAGAATCTGCTGCCTCCAATGCTGCTTCGGCCCCCACCAGAAAGTGTGGATCCTTCAGGGCCCCTGGATGTGAGTACACCTTCCACTGGGGTAGGAGCATGGGACCTAATGGGGTCCAGCTATCTATACACCATTGACCTGGAGTTCTCCCAAGGTGCTGGGCCCCAGCCTCCAAAGTCGAGAATGGACCCTGATGGATCTGGACATGGAACTGTCCCTGGTAAGAAAAGGGTGGAGGAGGGGGCCTAGCATTGCTGAACCAAGCCTTTAGTCCATGGCTGTTCTCTGGGAGCCATGTCTGAGGATTGACCCAGTGATTCTCCTCAGCTACTTGGCCCCCTCCCTAGCTGCTTCCTGGGGTTCTCTCATGCAGATGCAGCCCTTGGTTCCAGAGAGGGGTGAGCCTGAGCTGGCAGTCAAGGGGTTAAATTCCCCAGGCCCAGGTAATTGTAGTATCTCAGGACCTGGGAGGAAGCCATGATTGGGCTGAGGTGCCTTGGGCTGGGCAGTTTGTGTTTTGCAGGGAAATCCCCACAGAGTACTACTTTGAGGCACCCAACCCCTCACTGTTGGCTGGGAGTGGGAAATTGAGAATGGATGTTTGATCCGAACTGAGCAGAAGGCAGGCAGGCAGGACTCTCCTTCCCTAAAGAAAGGAGGAGATTTTTCTTCTCTGCTTAGCACAGCCCCATTTCTCCTAGGGAAGGACGCCACACTTGGGGCTCCACTCGTGCTGGATGTCCAGGCTGCTTTGGGAGGCCCAGCCCTTGGCCTCCCTGGGGCTTTAACCATCTACAGCACCCCTGAGAGCAGGGCCTCTTACGTCGGCCCAGCAGCCAGTCCTTCCCCCTGAGAACGCAGGCCTCTCAAGCCAGGCTGGCCAAGGAACCAGTCTGCAGCAGCACACTCCTCTTGGCTTCCTGGCGCCCCCTGGCGGGGGGGTGAGCGAAGCCCCCAGTACTCAACAGCCTCTATTACCCTGACGAGCCCTGCACATAAATTGCATTTTTTCTGTGTTTCTGCTCTCTTTTCTTTACCGATCAGGGATCACAGGAGTCATGGGTGGGGGTTATTTTGCATTCATAGAAGCATCCAGATCCTAGGGCTTTAAATGGACTAGGAGTGGACTTATTTAAGCTCTGGTCTTGGGCTGGCGTGGCAACTGCTAACTCCGAGGGTAGGGGGTGGGCTTCTAGGTCACATCCAGCTCCGCTATTCCAGTGTTCAGTGATTCTGGGTAAGTCGCTTCCCGTCCCTGAGCCTCATCTGTGACAGGAAAAGAGAAGGGGCGACAAGAGAATAGATGTAAGGTGCCTGACAACTGGGAGGCCCAGAGTGGGTGCTGGACATGTGGAGCCATAGGCCAAACTGCCCCCTCCCTGAGTCATCTCTGGGTGAGGAGGGAAAGCGGCCTAAGCTCGTCCTCAGCCAGAGCACTGCCTGGTTCCCAGTGCCCGGGGAAGAACCCCCACCCCCATTCCCGGCATCCCTGGCCGCCCCGCCCCCGTCGCAGCTGCTGCACCCACCCCCACCCTGCCCGGCCCTTTCTGCACCGTCATCTCCTGCCCCGCCGATGCTCGACCCGTGAGTGGGGCCGCCCGAAACGGGCCGAACCCAGAGCACCACTCCACCCGGCTGGGGGAGGGAAAGGAAACCGAGATTGGGCAGAATCAGCGCCCAGCCACCAGCAGCCACGCTCGGAGGTCTGTGAGCCCCGCCCTGCCGCTGGACTCTCAGGCTCTGGGACCCGGTGGAGGGGAAGACAGGGGAGCCAGGCGGTCGCACATGCGCAAAGGCTCCCGCGGTTTCCCACCACCCTCGCGGGAAAGAGACCCCGAGCAGCGAGGTGGGGATGAGGACAGGGACCCGGCTCCGCGTCTCGCCATGTGGCTCTCTGGGAAGGACTGACCTGGCTTTCACTTTAGAGCTGTGATAGACTCAAAGGGAAGGCCCTGGCCAGTCCGGGCCTGTACCCCCTAGACAGGACACAGAGCAGGACTTGGGGTAATGGCAGGAGTGAAGGATCAGGGACAATCCGATCTGCGCCCTCCCTCTCTGCATCTGTCCAGAGTAGGTGTTATGTCCCACTCTCTTCCTGTGGTCTACAACTGAAGGGACACTCTTTGGCACACTTAGCTAAAGAGAGCAGAGGGTCCTCCACATACACAGTGCAGTGATGTCAGTTAGCACAGTGGTGAGGTAAATGTTGTTCAATGGGGTACAGATAGGAGAGAACCACCTACCTTTTGGATACTTAGGCATTAGTGTGAACAGGAAGCACCTGACTGTGGAGGATGAGTCCACACAATGGAGGCAGGGGAAAACTATGCCAGGCTTAGAAAATAGCATCAGCAAAGGCTCTGAGGCACCAAGGGCACAGCAGTTCTTCAAGCACTGAGTGGTGGGGAAGGGCCTAGCTGTCCCGGATGATGGGAGGTGGCCAGAATAATCAGACCAGATAGATTGGGTTCTCACTGATGGGTAGTGGGGGGTGGGAGATGATTAGGATTGACATTTGCTAAACAGGAGACCTCCTTGTAGTTCAGGCTGGAGTAAGCCAGGTTCCAATTCTACCACCTGGTCTCTCCTAGCCTGTCTCCTCTTCTGTAAAAGGATACAATAACATTAATCCTACTCCAGAGTGTTCTCAAAGTCACTATGCTATGGGGGTGGTGGAGTGGGAGTGAGAAGTACTCACAGGGACTGTTACAAAATGTATGTGACAACAGTGAGGTCAAGAGGCAAGAGCTCATGGAGATTCACTGAGAGGTGGAAAAGCAGTACTTGTCACAAAGGGAAATGGAGGTGCAAAGGGTAGTCTGGCCACTGCTTAGGGGCCTGGGAGAAGGGCTGACTCTTCAATATGGAGGAAGGGAGTGAGGGTGTGAAGTGACCAGAAAAGGCATAGTATGACAGGAGGGGGTACTGAGCTCTCTAGGAGGCACAGTGGAGGCTAGGACTTCTCTCTCAGAGAAGACCCACTCACTAGACCCAGGTTAGGAAGACACCAAAGGGAAGAGGAGACCCAGGAGGATGCTGTGTGAATAAGGCCAGTGCAGAGGAGTATGCTGAGGAAGGCAGTGGTCCAAGGCCTTACTTCTTTGCCTTCTAAAGCTGGGGGTCTTGCTGCCTAGGTCAGGTCAGGAAGAGGATAGGCCATAATCCTTGGTTTATGGAGAAAAAAGATTGTATTCTGCTGTTTCGTAGAGACAGTCCTTCAAAAATGGGGAAATTCATGGAGGAAAAACAGTAAAAAAAAAAAAATTGGCAGATATTTGTTGATAGCTTTTATGAGCTGAGCCCTAGGTACTTCAAGATCAAGCAAGAGATAGCTAAGTCCTCCCCAGGTCAGCAGGGATAAAGGTGGGTCTCAGGTGATGTCAGAGGGTCTTGGTCAGAGTTGGGACTCACAAAGACTCAGGTATCTCTACTCAGGTATCATGGAACCAGGAAAAGCCAGGAGGCCATGCTGCGATCACAACTTGGTGTTGGTGAGAAGGGTGCAAGGCTAGGGCTTGTAGGGGAAAGTTGGACTTCAGGGTTGGATATGAAGAGGAGCAGAGGAGGGCTCTCCATAGTGGGTGCAGAGGGGATTAGAGGGCAGAGTGTGGAGGTAGGAAGCCTGGATCCCGGGTTCTGCAAGGTCCATGAGGTAAGATACTAGACTTAAGTCAGTGGTGATGGTGAAAGAAACCCCAGCAGATTGGAAAGGACTTGACTGCAGGCTGGGTGGGAGTATGAAGGTCGAACCTAGGTTTTCTGCCTGGTGAGATTAAAGGAGCAGATTTGGGAAAGAGAAAGAAGTTTGGATAAACTGGGTCTGAACTGGTCTCAAGATTTGCTGATGGGTAGGGCTCAGGAGGATGTCCTGGATGGGGAGAGCATTCAGCCAGTAGATGGGAAACCTAGGAGAGCCACAGCTGACGTTTAGTGATAGAAGGCGGGGCCTGAGGTGACAGGACAGAAGTGGCCAGAGAGACAAGAGACAGCAGTTCCTGCAGTGGCCTCCAGGTCCTGTGCTGCGGAGCCGACTGGCCGCTGGGGGTCAAGGTAAACTAAGGTCCCAGCTACGGGTGTTCACTGGGGCCTTGGGAAAGAGTGGCTCCAGCGCCTCAGCCCCCTCTACTTCTCTCCGGGTCCCCAGTGCAGCCCTGACCATGGGCAACGCGCAGGAGCGGCCGTCAGAGACAATCGACCGCGAGCGGAAACGCCTGGTGGAGACGTTGCAGGCGGACTCGGGTCTGTTGCTGGACGCGCTGTTGGCGCGAGGCGTGCTTACCGGGCCCGAATACGAGGCGCTGGATGCACTGCCTGATGCGGAGCGCAGGGTGCGCCGCCTGCTGCTGCTGGTGCAGAGCAAGGGCGAGGCCGCCTGCCAGGAGCTGCTGCGCTGCGCTCAGCATACGGTGCGCGCGCCGGACCCCGCCTGGGACTGGCAGCACGTGGGCCCGGGTGAGCGTGGGCGGGGCGGAGACGTGCTGGGGGCGGGGCAAAGGCTAAGTGGCCAGATCCGTAGTCCTCTCCCCAGAGGTAGGCGACCTTGTGCGGAGGGAACCGCAGGCCTGTAAACTGATCCCAAGTCACTCCCACTTCCGCCCCAGGCTACCGGGACCGCTACTACGACCCTCCGTGCCCTGGCCATTGGTCTCCTGAGGCACCCGGCTCGGGAAACGCATGCCCCGGGTTGCCCAGAGCTTCAGACCATGACGAGGCTGGGGTCCCTGAGGGCTCTGAGGCGGTGCAATCCGGGACCCCAGAGGAACCAGAGACAGACCTGGAAGCTGAGGCCTCTGAAGGAGCTGGGCCAGAGCCAGAGTCCTATCTAGATCAGGAACCGGAACTGGAGACAGAACCAGAACCCCAGATGGATCCGGAACCGGACGCAGAACCGGAGCTGGAGCCCGAGCCCGAGCCCGAGCTCGAGCCTGACTTTGAGGAGGGGGACGAGTCCGAAGGTGTGAGGCTGCCCAAATCCCGCACAGGTTTGGCAGGAGGGCATGGCCTGGGAAGCAGAGGGTGGGCTCCACCTCACTGACCACTGCCCCCATCATCTCTAGATTCCTGAAGACGAGAGCACTGAGACTGGCTGTTCCCTGCCCAAGGTACATAGGAGCTGGGATCCTGCTGGAGCTAGATCGGATCCCACCAAGTGTTCCTCCAACCTAGAACCTCTGGCAGTGAATAAACTCCAGGTTGGTCTGGGCCTGACTCTCTTCACAATTCTGGCTGTTTGGGCTATTTGCCTCTGAGTCCCAGTAACCTGGGCAACCCTGGGCCCCACCACACCCCCCACCCAGTCCTCATCCCTATCTTCAGTAGCCCAAGTTGCACACCGGAGACCTCAGAATAAGGTCCCTGATAGGACAAGAGCCCGACTCCTGCTGCATCACCCTTCCCCCTCAGGAGCCATTTGGGGGCCTGTATAGGCACCTGCTGAACTCCATGGAAGCCCCTGGGCTTGATGCAGAGAGCAAGGGAAGGGAGACTTTTCTCCACTTAGGGAAGGCTTAGAGCTCCCTCCAGAAAGAGGACTCCAGATCAGTCCCCAGAACATGAAGTTGAGATTAGAAAAGGGGAAGGGACCTTGGGTAAACAGAGGCCACACACATCATTGTCATTCCTGTTTTAATTGACTGGCTTCCCTCTGGACTGGTAGCTCAGTGAGGGTTCTGACTAGTAACTAGCACACAGAAGGTGCTCTATACATACTCATTGGCTAAATGAATAAAGAGTTTCCAACTGCATTTCTGAGTTTTACAGATGAGAAAACTAAGGCCAAGGGTAGGAGTTACACTGGATCAACTGCACATAGCTGAGTCAGAAGTGAAACTGGAAGCATCAACCATCTTTGCACCTCTCTGGTCCCAGAGGGGCTAGGGACTTGGGGGCCTGCCCCTCAGGGTCAATTGTGGCTGCTCCCAGGCTATGCCAACCTCTGCCAGAGACCAGCTATGAGCATGCTGGTGAAAACAAGAACAGCAGAGGCCAGTAGAGAGGATGGGGATAGGGCCAGGTGAGATCTTGGGTTTAACTCACAAGGCCTGCACTGTGTGTGTGTGTGTGTGTGTGTGTGAAATGAGAGTAGGGCTACAAGTGTCCTATTCCCTCCATCCTTCAGAAGCAGGTGGCTCCTGTGACTCAGTGGGTAGGGTGCCGGCCCCATATACCGAGGGTGGCCCCATATACCGAACCCAGCCCCAGCCAAACTGCAACAAAAAAATAGCCAGGCGTTGTGGCAGGCTCCTGTAGTCCCAGCTACTGGGGAGGCTGAGGCAAGAGAATCGCCCAAGCCCAGGAACTGGAGGTTGCCTGTGACACCACGAGGAAAAAAAAAAAAAAAACCTTCAGAAGCTGCTGCCTCTCAGCCTCAGGAAGTAGAGCACAATAAATATGGAATAAATACATGACCATATTTGGTGGGAGAGCCAAATGCTAGAAAGCACAGCCCAGGCCAGCTGGGTCTCTACTACCAGGACCCCAGTCCCTTGAACCTGTGTGAAGCCAAGACTCCAGGCTCAGGCAATCACCCCAGGAGAAGGGATCCCAACCTCCACCAGGACCCAGTGAGAGGTAGACAGCATGAATGCTGAAGGAGCACCAAGGGGCCAGGTAGGGGAAGGGAGAGACTGGAGTACCCAAGCACCCAAAAACATTCCATGCAAGAACAAGTTTCTATTCCCAAACCTCCCCCCATCCCCATCGATGCTCAGCTCCCCTCCTACCTCTACACTTCCCCTCTGCTCAACAGAGAGCTGGAGACAGAAGGGCAACTCAGTTTGCTGGACACGCTGGGCCAGACAGAAACCCTCTGATGTTGCCGCTCCTCCTCTTGGAACACTTCTGCCCTCCCAATGCCCACAATAAACACCCAGGCCATGGATGCACAGAGCAGACAGCTTCGTGTTCTGGGGGCTGATCTGGAGCCCTCTTTCTGGGGCCTCTATCTGTAGCCCTCAACCAACATCAGTCGGGCAGCAGGCGGCCCAGCTCTGCCTCATCCAGCCGGTTGGTGGTCATGATGTGCTCCAGCTGCTGCCGGTAGCGTGCCAAGTCTTGCATGAAGTGGGGCACCCGGGTTTTATCCAGCACCCCATGGGGCCGCAGGTGGTCCACATCCTCATAGGACACCTGCAGGGAGGGAGGTGGCCTCAGGGGTAGGCAGAGTCCTGTGGCTTTCAGGTAGCAGGTCCCAGCTTACTATATGTGGCACACTGCCCTTTTTTCCTGGGGTTCCTTCCTCTCCCCTCCTGACCCACTCCCAGGTTTTTGTACCTCTAGGCTCAGTCCTGGGTCTTTGCTCTTTCAACACCTTCTTTTGTAATCTGTGCCTTACATCCCCATTCATCTCTCTAACCCAACCTCTCCCTTCACCTCCAAACATGGCTATCCACCTGCCTCCTTAACGCTTTCCCCCAATACCTCTAGGAACCTCTGCACATCCAACAGTAAACTCCTGGATGCCACTTACACCAGCCCCACTCTCTTAACAATTACCCAGGTCAGATTCTGGAGAGGGAGGCCTAGACTCTCACCCTCCCACTCAGGATGGCCCTGAGTTAAAAGGATTCCACTCTCTGAAGAACTTTCCTGCTGGTTTCTTTTCTAAGTGCATGGCCACTGCATGGTTGGGTCAGGCCACTATCAAGTCTGCAGGAATGTTGAGAAAGTTCTCCTCTCGACCCTGCACTTCCTTCTCTAGGCCTTTCTCCAATTCACCTTCCATAGGGAGCCTCTAAAGCAAACACCTGAGCCACTATTCTACTTAAACCTCCTCCCAATCCCCCACTGCTTCAAATGAGGTCTGCTTTTCTCAGGCTGATTCAAATGCCAGTGCCAGGGACCTGGGCCATCGCTACTGCTCCAGCTTTCTTCCTCAGGCCTTCCTGAATGTCCCTAAAGATGCAGTATCTACAGACACCTGCAGACTGGGCCAAACACCCGCTTTTGTCTGCCAGACATCATTTGGGCCTCACCTTCACCCGCACAGCCCCCACCCAGAGAGGTCTGGCGCCCAGCCCTCACCATAGTACCAATCAGAGGCTCGGGGAATACCGCGAGGAGAGGGACAGCTGGCTGGGACCTATGAAGGTCCGCAGCCCCTCACCTTGCCCAGCGAGGTCAGCAGCGGGAAGTCGATGGTCTCGCGGTGTCGCAGAATGCGCACGATGCCGTCCAGGTACACCTGATCCTTGCTGAAGCAGCCTGGGAGCGCAGGAGGGCGGTGAGCCCCAGGGTGTCCCAAAACCCCACCCCTCTTCTCAGCCCCCAGCCCCGCCCAGGGCTTCTTCCTCATGCCCACCGGGCTTTGAAGTGTCGGTTTGGCCACGCTTGGCGCGCACGCAGTACTCCCAGCGCACGTCTGCGTCCTGCACGTAGCGCGCCAGATCCTGGAAGAGCTGTCGGAAAGACATGCGAGCGGCGCGGTGGATGGTGTAGTACAGCAGGGCGGCGCGCCACAGGAAGGGCTGCTTGCGGAACAGCACGCTGTGCAGGCTGGCCAGGCCCTCCTCCGTGGGGTTAGCTGGGCGCAGCCCGTACCGCAGCCGGCCCTCGGCACTGTGCCATGGCTGTCGCGAGTTGTTTACACCTCGCAGGTAGTGGGTACCTGGGGGGACAGAGAGAGGAGGAGGCGCTGGGCGGGGCGTCCGGGGGACCCATCTGCGGTCCTGGCCAGTGCCATACTCTATCAGGCCAGACTTCTGGATGGACTTCTACCCGTGAGTCTTGTGTCCTCAAAGCCTCGAACTCAGGCTCTCGCACAAGTATTTCCCCAGACCAACCCCAGGCAACGCTAAGACTCTCCTCAGGCGAACTTGGTATCCAAGGACCCACAGAGGCTCACATGCATCAATCCTCCCTCACCGGTCCAGCCTCCCGCCCCCCACACACATAAACTTCCCAAATTTACATCTCCCCAGCCCTCCTGGAGACAAGGAACACATAAACCACCTGTCCCAACACGGAGTGCCCATATCATTTTGACAGAAACTCTGATGCCCCAGCAAAAACTACCTCTTGCCCAAAGTAACAGGATTCTTGAAGAGGAGGTATAGATAGAAAAGAATAGTGATTAGTGTCTTGTGCCCTTATTCCCAACCTGGCCTGTCCTCTCCTAAACCAGGAACTGTGTCCTCAGGCCAAGTCTGTTCCTAGGATCTAGGCTTCCACCCACACCTGGAGTGTTGGCTACTCTGGTGAGACCCTCAGGGCTCTATCCCTCTGGCCTGTGAGGGCTTCACCAGCCTTGCCCCCACTGTCAAGGGAAATCAGAGAGGAAATGGAGACAGAAAAAGACACTCTAAAGGTGCAAGAGATGAGGGTGAGCCCAAAGTGGGCAGGCATGTTCTGGCCTACCTTTGTGAGCAAGAGGGAGGAAGAAGCTGCTCACGAAGGGAAAGGGCCCATCCTCCAGAGGGAAGAGGGAGAAACAAAAGGGGTTACTGGGACCTCTCCCTGCTCCTCCCAGCTCCCAGCCCCCAACCCCCTCTCATTCCTTCCACCCACCCACCTGCCCACACCCTGACCTATCTCGTGCCGCAGCATCCCTTCCAACCAATACTGGCGGGCTCCAGTCAGATTGATCGCCAGTGTGGGTCGGCTGTTTTCCACCATCATCACTGCCTGGGACAGCAGGTCCTCACTCAGCTGCACCACAACCTGTAGATGGCAATGCTCTGAGCGATAGCCACCAGCCCTGGGGCCAGTGTACAGATGGACATACTGATGCCACCAGTCAGCCAGGCTGGACAATAGGCCAGGACAACAATCTGTCATTCCTGCCAGAGCCAGCTCATGCCTCACTGGGGCAGGGGCAAGCATTTGTCTGGGATCACCAGCTGGCCAGATGTGACACCCTGATTTGGGGCATGTAGAAGAGAGGTTGCAAATATGGCAAGCTCACCTCCCCAACGCAGCCCTCCTTTTGCATGTATTTGCGCACAGTGGACCAAATCTGGCACTTGGTCAGCAGCTGGCCCCCAGTAGCAGCCTCAAAGTGTTCATAGGTGCCAAACTTCTCCAGAACAGCTTCAATGATGCCAACTGCCTGCACACAAGGCCATAGCAGCTAGTTAGGACAGTCTCCTGGAAGGATCAGGACCAGGGTGAAGTGGACAGGCTGGACTAACCTGATGAATGAACTGTCCAGAGGCCTCACAGTACTTCTCCAGTACAGCCGTGGGCATGGGCTCCTGGTACTCAAACTGTGGGTTGTAGGTGTAATGGGACTGGAAGAACTTGTCCCGTTCATGGTCCATGTTGATTGGTCGCAGGGCCACTAACATGCAGGGGCTCTTGCTGGTACCATGGCCTCCATCCTTTCGAGTCTTAGCAATGTGAGGTAGGGATGCTGCAGACCGCAGGTTGCCCCCACCTAGGCTCCGTCCTTGTCCAGACAGAGCCCGTCGCTGGGTGCCACACCTCTGCTGGCCAGTACTATTTACAGTGTAGGTGCTCTCACTGCGACGCATGTGGCTACGGTAGCCCATATGCAGCTTTGAGGAGAGGTGTCGCTCAGGCTGGGGCTGCAGTGCTGAGGGGACTGCCAGAGCAAGGGGCAAGGCCAAGGACTGAGGCCAGGGGTACCTTGGTGGCACATCTTGGTCTGAGGGCTTCAGCTTATGGTGCAGAGATGAGGGACTGCCAGGCGGGCTGGGGGGTGCCTGCTCATATACCTGATCCCCTGAGTCCAGCACCATTCTGTCTTGGGGGTCACATCCAGCCAGGTCACTCCAACTCCCCACTCTGCTGACCTCTGGGGACACAGAAGGGCATGTGGAGATCAGCATGAGTGGGTGTGGCCAGTGGATCAGCAGGCTCTGTGCTCCACACAACACTTGCTGGGCCCTTGATAGACTCAGGTTCGGCTGCCAGGGGTCTGGGTGGCTACAGTGGCCATTCCTACCAGCAAGCTCACCCAAGCAGAAAGCAAGAGTTTTATACATCCACCTAGATGAAGAAGATTCTTATTTACTGGAATTCCCTCAGCTCCAGAGAACAAGGACTGAGCCACTATTCATCTGCTCAGCACTCACCTAGTCTGGAAGCTGGTACAATGCAGAATTCACTTGGATGATAATAGATGGGGGTTCTCAGGGCTGTCTTCTGCCCATGGTGTCCCCTCAGTCCCACGACTCCCCTCCCACCTGGCTCCACCCACATCTTCCTCACTATTTGGCCTTAGTCTGTTTGAATCCTTGAGTACCCCTTGCTTATGCTAGCCTCCTGGTTATACCCTCTCTCCTCTAGGCCATTGTTCAAATCCAAATTAAAATCTGCTTTTGGGAGCAGAGGGTAACTTCAACATATCCAGGCCTGTCCCCTATCTGAGGCATCTTTCTGGTGGTCATCCAAGGCCAGGGTCAGGGAACTCAACCCCTGACTCTGTGCCAGGGCTCAGGCCAATCCAGTCTCTCCCCAGAGACTGACTGGGGACTCCAGCCTCTAAGCTCCCTTGCCTTCCCAGGGATGCAATTTCAGCATTTCTCTTCTCTCCTACATCATCAGTCTCTTTCTCTCTACTGGAGTCTTTCCATCAGCACAAACATATGCTGTTATTTCTCCATCTTAAAGAAATAAAACCCTCACTTGAACCCACACTCATCCAGCTACAGTCACACTGCATCTCCTTCCATCTGCTCCCTATTGCAGCAGTAAGAGTCATCTATACCCATCTCCAATTCCTTTTTTTCCTATTGTCTCTTAAATCCACTCCAATTAGGCTTGTGTCCCCTGCGCTCCATCCAAATTGAACTGATCAAGGTCACCAATGACTTTAATATTGATCAGCAGCACCTGACACACTTAATCACTTCACCTCAAAACACATTCTCTATTTGACTTTCCAAACACACTCAAACTTAGTTCTCCTCCTACCTCACTAGCTGTTCCTTCTTGGTTTCCCTTGCCGGTCATCCTATCTCCCCATCCTCTTAACAGTGGAATGTCCCAGGGCTTGTTTATGGAAACTTCTCTCCTCTTCTCCATTTATACTCTCCCTACGAGATCTAATCCAAATACATTAGCTTAGACTCCTTCATAAACTTTAGACTAGTGTTGTCAGTTTCAATGCAACTTTTTTAATAGGCATTATCAAAATGAACATGTCCTCTGTCTGGAACTAATGGCATAGATTACACTCTCTCTCTTTCCTCAAATCTCTGCATAAATACCATCTTAGGAGAAAAGCCTTGCCTGTGTGAGGTGGCTCAAGCCTACCCTCTGGTAGGCTGAGGCAGAAGGATCGCTTGAGCTCAGGAGTTTAAAACCAGTGTGAGCAAGAGTGAGACCTCATCTCTACTAAAAAAAAAAAAAAAAAAAAGAAAAACTAGCTGGGTGTGGTGGTACACACCTGTAATCCCAGCTACTCAGGAGGCTAAGGCAGGAGGATCACTTCAGACCAAAGTTTGAGGTTCCCATGAGCTATGATGCCATGGCACTCTACCCAGGTAACAGAGTGAGACTGTCTCAAAAAAAAAAAAAAAGCCTATCTGCCATGTTAAAGGGAGCATTGAAAAAAGAAAGTCTCCCTAACACATTCTCTAAGAAATAGTAAACCTTCTCTCCTCTTTTCATCACAATCTTTCCTTCCCTGAGTTATTGTTCTCTGTGGCAGTTAACACCATCTGAAGTGTATTTCAGTACTCTTTATACTTGTATAGTAATTTGATGGTTAGTTATGTTTTATCCTGTCCAGTGTTCACAGCTGTGTTCCCAAACGCAGAACAGTGCCTAACCCAGAGCAGTTACTCAATAAATAAATGAACCCAAAAGGCTTTCTCTTTATCAGAACTAAAATCATTCCTTCCCTGAGCTTTGCTTTCCCATCTAGACCTGCTCTTTACCACCCTCCTCCACCCTGCTTAATAATCAGCTCCTTACAAAGATTTCAGGCCTCACTCACCTCAACTAACAGTACATTTTTCTGGATTCCTCACTAATCTCCAGGCCTTTACCTGGGCCAGTTCCCTCCATCTCCCCTTCTTTCATTTGACCTACCTCCTCGCAATTACCAGAATACGCCTGTTTCTTTCATGTCTCAGGTCCTTCCGCCAAGGATGCCCTGCAATATCTCCCCGGAGCAAGCTCTTAACCATTCTTCGGGGCTCGGTTTTGGCCTCACCTCCTCCGGGAAGCCTTCCCGGCGTCTAGAGGATCCCGCTGCTTTGGCACCTTCTTTACCGCTCTAAGGCTGTCACTGTCGGAGCCAAGGTCCAAGTACCCTTACCATCCCCTGAACTCCCCGAAGGCAAGCCCAGTTCTGATTCACCCCCATGTCCGAAGCATCCAGCTCTCGGTGCCGAATGAATGAGGGCTGGATGGGGGAGGAGCCCCCGACTAGTAAAGGCGGAGTCTGGTGACAAATGAGAGGGTGTGGCCTGGGCCAGTAAGAAACGCCAGGAGATAACGTGGAAGAGGAGCCAATGGGAACCGAGAGATCGAGGAGGGGCGTGACCTAGAACCAATAAGCGGCAGGAAAAGGGCGAAGGGCGTGCCCAATGGAGGGTGGGGTCAGAGGACAATGGAGTAGGGGTTCTCCGCTAGAACGGGAGGGGTTGCCTCGCTTGCCTTCTGTCAGCCTTTGTGAGAATTCTGTCCGTGTGCCGCGCCCCCACCTGTTTGCTCCTTTTCTTGCCTCCCGCCGTTCCCACTCTGCAACGCCGGTCGCCGGTCCCCCAGCCCGAGGGAGCCAGAGCCGATGACGCACACACGCGGGCGCGCGCACGTCCACACGACGGGGTGGAGACCGCAGCAGTCTTCGCGGCGGCGCGCCCCCGAGCCCAACGGGGGCGGGGCCAGGCTAGGCTGGGAGGTGGTGTGGGTCACACGCCACGCCCCTGGTTGGGGGCGCTACGGTAAGGCCGGTCCTCTTCCCAAAGCGCAAGTGGGTTTGAGGACTGCAGGTGCTACCCAGCGGGGTGTTGGAGTTAGGGCAGTCAAGACATAAGTTCACTGCCTTGGGGTGAATGTGGGGGCAGAAGCCGGGGCCTCTGAAACCAGTTACGGTGAGGGCCGAGATCTGGATAGGTAGGTTGCAGCCGGTATGCCAGGACCGGAGCCAGGATGTCTTAGGCATGCCACTGTGCGTTGGCCTCCTAAATTTCGCGGGCACGTTAATTCCATACCCACTTCCCCAAAACACATAGATTCAGGTGTATGTTAGCCGTGTCTTTATTTTGCAGGCAGCCTGGCATCAAGCGCAAGACCCAGACATGAGGCAGGAGGACAGCACCGGAGCCGGCGCCGGCACAAGGCTGAAGAGTGCGCGGCGACCAGTTGGGGGCGAGGGCGGCGGGCCTGCCTGCAAAGAGCTGAGTGCGGCTAGGCGCTGCTCTCGGGACACGTCCCCGCGCAGGTCCAAAAGGGCGGAGACATGGTCCTCACTGCAGGGGCACCACCAAAGACGTGTCAGCCTGGCCCCACCACGCCCCTCTCGGATCTCTCCTCCCTCTCTACCACAGTTCCCCGCACCTCACGTCGGGAAATTGTTGCCGCAGGCTCGCCACCTCGAGGCCAAGCATCGTGGGGTCGCGGAGGTTCAGCAGCTCCCTCAGGGCCAGCAGCACCGGCGCGCAGTGAGCACTCTCCTCCAAACCCTGAGTACATCGAGGTAGGGTATGGCGCTGGCCCTCGGCCCCCACCCAACAACCGAGAGCCTATCTGCCCCGCGAGCTCTCACCAAACTGAGGAAAAGTTCCCGAAGCTGGGCAGCATCGTGCCGCAGGCGCTCGGCCACTTGGGTCCTCTCCTCGGCTCCGTGGCACACTAGACGGCCCTGCATCAGCGCGTGTAGGTATTGAAGCACCACAGCACGCTCGGCCTCAGCCAACAGCAGCTGCAGGAAAGGCAATCGGGTGGGTCTAGGTCACTTTTCCCACCCGCACTGCCCTCTCCCCAGTCTTTCCCCCACCCCGACGCACCTGAACTGTGGGGTTCCGCACACGCCAGAAATCCCGGCAGAAGCTCTCAGTCTGCTCACACACACGGTCCAGCAGTTCAGGGCTAGAAAGCCACTGGCGCGAGGGCAGAGCTTTGAACAGAGGCTGAGGCGGGGGTAGGGGGGGAAGGGGGCAGCGATGGAGCTTGAGAAATGGCCCAGACTTCGCATTGCCCGCTGAGATCCCCATACATAGGCTGTATCTCCACCTGCCACCTCCGTCCAAACCTGAAGAAGCCTCACCTGGAGCTCCGCGAGCAGCGCTTCCAACACTAGACGGCAGATCCTCCTCTGCAACTCGTCCAGCCCGGCTTCCACCGGAGCCAAAGCCCCTGAAGCTACCCAGTCGAGCTGCAGGACCGATAATGAGGAGCTGGCCGACCAAAATCACAGCTTCAGGACCAAGGCCAAGGCCCAAGCCCAGGCCCCGTGGCCCTCAGTGGTCCAGCCAATCCGACGCCACCTTGTGGCGCAAGTGTGTGGCAGAGGGAGCGAGCAGGAAGGCTCCCTGCGCTTCTGAAGGCCAGAGTCTGGACAGAGGCTGGGAGAGCTGGAAGGGACACAGCCCAAAGGGACCTGCCTCGAATTCCCGGTGTGACTTTGAGCAAATCATTCTTTCAGTTTCTGTTTCCTTATCCGTAAGGGGAGGGAAGTAATCCCAGTGAGGAAAGAGTAAAAATCATCAACTTGTGCGTCCTCCTCATCCCCACCACAAAGAACATAACCCCAAGAGGAGAGGAACTTTTTCTGTTCTGTAACCCCAGACATTTTCTGGCACAGAGCAGGAACTTGAAAAATATTTGTTGAACATTATTCATTAGAATAACTGACACTATGTGCCAGGCACTGTGGTAGGTACTTCCCATCCGCTATCTCAGAACACTCCATTTTTACCCACATAATACTAATGAGAAAAGTGACATTCTGAGAGATTTGGTAATTTACCCAAGTAGTAATTAGCAGAACTAGGATGGAAACCCCCCAGCTATGTGAGTCCAAAGTCCCTAGGGTGGACTGGGTCCACACATAATAGGCACCTGGTTGGGGGTTGAATGTAAGTTTCCATGGGGACCTCCTGGTACCTGAGTGCTGACTGATGGTTGAGGGCAGCCAGTAGGTAGGACACATAATGAGGGGCCGTTGCTTCCCCCCTGACGTGGTCTCGGGAGAATCGGATCAGAGCATCACTGAAGCTGCAATGGACAGAGGTGGCTGGACTTGGTGCTCCTCTGGAGCCCCCACAACCCCAGTCCCTGATACTCCTGCCCCACCCCACAGTCCTTGTTTTAAGGTGCCCTTTCCCACTGGTGTGTCTTATTCACTCAGTGCCCCTTTGGGCTGCCCCAGGAGCAGAGCTAGAGATTGGGAGTGGGTCAATGCCTTGGCGGACCTTCTCAGGAAGGCACCCAGCTCTGACAGTGCCATGCCATGCACCCGCCGTTGCAGTGACTCACTGACCAAGCTGGTCACACGAATGTTCTCGTCCAGGATCTATAGGCAGGGATGGGCAGCTATCAGCAAAGCTGCTACCCCTGCCCTCCTCTCTTTTCCCCCATGAAGCTGCCCACCTGTGTGGCCACTCCCTACCCACCTGCAGCACAATAGCTGGCATTGGTGAATAGTAAAAGCCAGATGGGTCTGTGTTGGGCTCCTGTTCCCGGAGCCACTCAGCTACCTCTCCATCCAGCGCCTTCCGCATCCACTGGGCCACACTTGCCTGGGGGAAAGGGTGAGGAGCAAAAGAATGTAGCAGGGCACTGACCTTGCCAGAGGTGGGCAGACATTCCCCAATTACTCACTTGGACTTTGGCCACAAATGTTGCTTCCAGTTGCTCAATATTCTCCAAGGTTAGGAGGGGTTCCAGCTGGGATACGTCAGCCTCAGGCCCCAACTCCAGGCTCCCCATCATTTCCTGCCTGGAGATAGGTGGCTCAGGTGTCACACTGATCTCCCAGTATCTGATTCACCCACTTCCCATGCCCCAGAGACACTGACCCCAGGTACACATGCAGTGCCCAATGCAGCAAGGCAAAGGCATCAGCAGCTCCCAGCTCAGGCCCTGCAAGGAGCTGTTGCAGCCTGCGGCGCAGGCCACTGTGTAGAGTGTGGGCCCATAGCTGGACCACTCGGTAGTGTGGCGGGCAGCAGGGTGCTACTAGTGCTTCAGCTGTGGCCAACTCGGCTGGTAGAGCCACTCGCAGAGCCTCTAGCCACTCTGCTAGAGCCCCTGGACCAGGCAGCAGAGATGTCCCAAAATGGACCTGCTCCAGGCCCTCCTGTAGTGCCCGAAGACAGCGCTGTCGCCAGTCCCGGTGGGCCTGCCCCAGGTGGGTTGTTCGTCCAGCCTCCACTTCTGCCACACGCACAGCAGCCACCAGCAGAGCTGGATCCTCTCGTGCCAGCTGCCCTGCTGCCCCTGCAGCTGCCTCCACAGCCTGACCCAGTGCCTCAGCCAAAAGATTGAGCTCCCGGAAGACTGGCAGCTCCAGGCTCCCCAGGGGTGCCCATGTCTCCTCTCGCAGCTGCTCCAGCTCCCGAAGACTTACATATGCCTCCAAGAGCTGTTGGGCATCAATCAAGGTCTGTGTGTGGGCTACTGCAGCGGGCACTAATTAGGGAGGAAAGGAGATAGCCATGGGTCTCAGTCTTCCCACCAGTACAATGGGTACAGTAGGGGATACTGAGGCCCTGGGGCTAGAGTGATGCATAAAATATTTAATAACTGATACAGTAAATCATTGGCTAATCTGAAAGGATCCAGGCAAAGTCCTAGAGCCCTAGTGGGCCCGGTGTCAACCCATGAGCTAATGGAATATGAGAAAGTAGTGTATCCTGGAGAGAAAGCAAGGAGAATTAAGGAGTGATGCTAGTGGCTATTCACTCAGTCTATTAAGAAAACCTTTCAATAGGTTAATGGCCAGGATGGCCAAAGCCACTCGACTTCGTATCAATTCTGACTCAAGCATCCCATGCTTGGGAAGCCCAGGATGAGCTGATTTGCCATTTATATGCCATTTGAAGCCTGATTTATATGCCATTTGAAGCCTGGCTCACCCCCTGGCAGGTCCCTGGCGTGCCCCTCCATGCAATCCCCTACATAGCAGCCCAGCTCCTTGATCAGTGATGGGTGTTTGTGGACTGACTTGATAGCTGAGGCCCAGGGTCCCTGCACACTCACCTGCCCGCAGGCGAGGCAGCAACTGAGATAAAGCTTGCAGTTGCTTATGTTGGGAAACCTGCTCCCGCAGAGGCTGTAGGGTCTGGGAGGACTTGGATATGCCCTGGAGCAACCCATGGGCCTGGCTCAGGGCTTCCCGGGTTTCCTGCACAGCCTCAAGGGCCTGGGCCAGCTGCCACACACCAGTCTGTACACCTTCCAGGTATGACTGCACCACCGACTAAGGAGAGAAGCAGCTGGTAAGGTACCACCAGTCCAGCAGACCAGCCCAGCATGGCTCCTTGCCCTGGCCCACCTTGATGCGTGCTTCCAGGGAGCAGGTACGCTGCACCTCACGGCTGCGGTACTGGCCTAGCCTGGCTAGCTGCTCCGGCCGGTAGAAGATGCCTGAAGCCCACTTGAGTGCAGCACCTCGGGCCAGCTGCTCCGCCCTCTCCTGCTCTGGCCACTCAGGCCCTGGGCAGGAAGAGCCTGGGCAGCCATGTCAGTCAGAAAGGGCCTGCAGGAAGTGGCCTCCGGACTTGCTCCCCTTCCTACCCCTCAGCCTATCCCAAGGAGAGGGCTATAGAGCTCCAGCCAGACCTGTCAGGGATGACCCAACCCCACCATTCCCATTTTTCTTGCCATGTTCCTCCCCCAGCCCACCTGGAAGGGCTCGTACCAGAGGGAAGTGCAGGCTGCATCTCATCCTTGGCTGCTGAGTCCATGCAGGCCTGGAGAAGCCGGAGCTGAGGTGGGCTGAGATGAGGGTCTCAGACAGAGCAGGAAGAGAGGATGCCTCTTTGAGCAGCTGCCGCAGTCTGGGCCCCTGTGAGGAGGAGGAGGGAGGCTCTTGCCCAACCCCCTCAGGAAATGAGAGGGAGGCAGTGTGATGGGAGTCACCTGGGAGGACTTGCCTGCTGCCTTTCTCAGTTGTGCCACTGCAGATGCCAAGTGGGGCAGGGTGGGACAGGCCCCACTGGACCCCTTTTCTACCCTGAGCAGCACAGGACAGAACTTACCAGGCTTGACTAGGCGTCCAGTTCTCCCTCCTCCGCAAATGGCCTTGGCCTTGAGAATGGCCCTCTCCCCCAGCAGAGCTAAGCACGCCTTCCACTTGTTCACAGGGGCTGGGTGACTCCAGCTGACTCCAGCACACAGCAAGACAACTCCTCTCTCCAAGGAAGCTTTTCTCCCACTTCCCAGCACAGAAGCCCCTTCTTCCCATCAATGCCCCTCCCTCCCTGAGGCCACCAACAGAAAGGAAGGAAGCTGAGTCTCTGGCACTTTATTCCCAACAGGAAAGAGCATCTGCACTGAGAATGAGGAGGGCTGGGCGCCACTTCCCTGAGGGGTGGGGGAAGGGTGTGCTCCTGTGGTCAAATCTTGACCAGCCCACCCAGGACCTTTCTGTGCTCAGGACAGAGATAGGAGCTAGACTCAGCCTTAACCTGGTGGTGAGGAGGAGTGTGCAGATATGGACACAAAGGACATCACAGTATGAATATTACGTTGATGGGCCTCTCAGAGGAGGTTGTATACCTCTGCAGAGGAGAAACAGGTGCAGCCTATTGTGAAGGGTGGCCAAGGGGAACCATGGCAGGAGAGAAGGCATGAAAGCTGGGCTACCTTGACAGTTACAGGGAGCCAGGGAAAGGACTCTAAGGATATAATCCACCCTTCAGGACAGAGCCATTCATTCCCCCAGCTGCCAGGAGTGTAAGCTAGTGGGGTCTCACAGGTGGGTCTGTCATCAATATTGGGGTACAAAGGCCTGGTATCCTTGCCTAGATGTGAACACTTCAGAAGGGCTACCCCAATTTCAGAGCTCCTGGTGGGACGGACTGAGGACTCTATTATAATGGCATTTGGCCAATTCTGCCTGTCTTATTCCCTTACAATTGAGGATCCCTAATAAGCTTGCTGCAAATCCCTGTCTCAGAGTCAGATTCTCAGAGAATCTGACCTAAAAGGTATAATAACTTAATGGGCAGGTGCAGTGGCTTAAGCCTGTAATCTCAGCACCTTGGGAGGCCGAGGTGGAGAATCACTTGAGGCCAGGATTCAGTACCATCCTGGGTTATATAATGAGACCTGTCTCTACAAAAAATAAAAATATTAGGCTGAGCTTGGCTCTCTGGCTCATGCCTATAATCCTAGTACTCTGGGAGGCTGAGGCAGGAGGATTGCTTGAGCTCAGGAATTCGAGACAAGCCTGAGCAAGAGCAAGAGCAAGATCCTGTATCTACTAAAAATAGAAAAACTAGCCATTGTGGCAGGCTCCTGTAGTCTCACCTACCCAGGAGTCTGAGGTAAGAGGATCACCTGATCCCAGGAGTTTGAGGTTACTATGAGCTAGGCTGACACTATAGCACACTAGCCTGAGGCAACATAGTCAGATCCCATCTCTACAAAAAATAAAAAATTGGCTGAACTCAGTGGTTCATGCCATAATCCTAGCACTCTGGCAGGTCAAGGCAGGAGGATCACTTGAGCTCAGGAGTTCAAGACCAGCCTGAGTAAGAGGGAGACCTGTCCCTACTAAAAATAGGAAAATTAGCAACTAGTGTCATGCATCTGTATTCCCCTTTACTCAGGAAGCTGAGGCAGGAGGATCACCTGAGCCCAGGACTTTGAGGTTGCTCTGAGCTAAGCTGAGGCTATGTCAGTCTAGCCCCACTGATAGAGAAAGACTGTCTCTAAATAAATAAATAAATAAATATCCAGGCATTGTGGGATGTGACTGTAGTACTAGCTACTCTGGAGGCAGGAGGATTACTTGAGCCAAGGAGTTCAAGGTTACAGTGACCTGTGATTGGGCCACTCCAATCCAATTCACCCAACTCCAGCTTGGGTGAAAGAGCAATAGACCCTGTCTTGAAAATATTAATTAATTAAAAAGGAATAATAATGGGTGGCGCCTGTGGCTCGAAGGAGTAGGACACTGGCCCCATATGCCGGAGGTGGCGGGTTCAAACCCAGCCCCAGCCAAAAACTGCAAAAAAAAAAAAAAAAAAAAAAAAGGAATAATAAATAATAATGTTAAAAATAACAGATGGTCCTAGCAAACACATAATCTTTCCTACATGCCAAGAATTGCTCTAAGTGCTTTATTTATGTTTATATATAGGTAGATACGTTTGCACTGGTGCAGTGTAGTGTAGAGGCAAGGGAAAGATGAGGCTGGGGCCATGGATAGAGAAAAATAAAGAGCTTGCTGTTTGGCAGGAAGCGAGGGACAGGAATTGAGTGGGTGACCCCAAGACAGTGGGGCAGCCTTTGGAAGCAGGTTGAGGGAAGTGGTTGGGTTCATCAGGCAGTATGATGTTGAAGCAGATTGGCAAGGAAGGTTCGAGTGGCTCCCACTTCTTTACTGCCGGGGCTGCCCACTGACCTCCAACACATTCCTTCCCAACTTATCTGGTCTCCCGGATCCCCGGGTCGTTTCGTCTTATTCAACAGTTGGCCATTTGCAGATGGTCCCTGAAGTTTTGCGTCAGTTCCCTAAGACAGAAATGCACCAGGTTCCCTGGAAGATGCGTAGGGCGGAAGCGGAATTAGCGTCCCTAGCTCCGGCGGCCGGGTGGCCAGGAACGGAAGCGGAAGTGGCGGCGGCGCCGGCCTGGCCTGGCCTGGCTGTAGGCAGGCGGCGGGCGGGCGTGATGGCGGAGGCCGGGCCACAGGCGCCGCCGCCCCCGGGCACTCCAAGCCGACACGAGAAGAGTCTGGGACTTCTTACCACCAAGTTCGTGTCGCTTCTGCAAGAGGCCAAGGACGGCGTGCTTGACCTCAAGCTGGTGCGGCCCGGGCTAAGAGGCTACAAGGAGGGGATGGTGGACCAGGCCGGGGCTGGTAGCGGGAACCCTTGGGGTGGTCCAGCTGGGTTTTCCTAGAGCCAGCCGGTAGCGTGCGTCTCACAGGAGAAAGGCTGAAGGTTGTTTCATTCATTCAGCTAAGGTCATTGAGCGTCAGCTGTGTGCCAGGCTTAGGGTTGCAGGTGTTCGTCCTCGTGGCCCTTCTTGGCTGGCATGAGAAAATCATCAGAACATTAGTTCAGGGTTGTGCCAGGTCACTTCTCACTCTGCGGTCCTGAGCTGCTGTAGGAGGAGGCACTACAGGATTGGGACCCAAGTTACCCACCTTCTCATATAGCTGGGGGTACACCTGAGAGTGGAGCTGAGCATTCTCCACTGTGTTCTGTCTGCCAGGCAGCTGACACCCTAGCCGTGCGCCAGAAGCGGCGGATTTATGACATTACCAACGTGTTGGAAGGTATTGGGCTAATCGAGAAAAAATCCAAGAACAGCATCCAGTGGAAGTGAGTAGGGAATATCCGGGAGGGCAGTAGGGTATCCTGTCCAAAAGAATCAGAGGCGTGGGGTGGAGGGTGCAGGAAAGGACAGGAGCTATGGGACCCAGAGTTCCTGGCAGTCCTTTCAGCCCCACTCCTTGGGCTCAGGGGTGTGGGGCCTGGCTGCAATACCCGAGAGATTGCCGACAAGCTGATTGAGCTCAAAGCAGAGATCGAAGAGCTGCAGCAGCGGGAGCAAGAACTGGACCAGCACAAGGTGTGGGTGCAGCAAAGCATCCGGAACGTTACAGAGGACGTACAGAACAGTTGATATCCTCCTGGCGGTCCCTTTTCTGGGGGAGTGGGCAAGGGACCCTCTGTTTCAGTGGGTTTTCTCTATGTGCCCTGGGCCCTGTTCCTCTTGGGAGGATGGTCCTGTGGCCTCTGGTCAGATCCCAGCCTCAGACCCCTTCTTCAGAGCCCCTTCTCCAGTCTGGGCCTATAACACATGCCCAGTCCCCAGAACTTTCACACACACAAGAGGGCTTGTGTGTCAGACCTCTGCTGAAGAGTTGAGTCTTCTCTGTAGCCTGCCATCTTTTGCCATAGGCAGGACATCAGCCGTTCTCCTTAACCCCCACACTTTGGCCTACGTGACTCATGAGGACATCTGCAGATGCTTTGCTGGTGAGCAGAGCTTGGGTAGGGGGACATAGGGGTGGGGTTGGGCTGAGCTACAGCCCTGAGTATCGGGCTAAGTGTCCAAGGAGAGTCTTCCCTTAAAATCCTGGGGCCTGCTGAAGGAGGAACCAGGCAGGGTAAGTCTTCTGTCTGAGGGTCACTGGGACTCTGTGGAAGCCAACTATACTAAGAGGGTACAAGAATTCTAGAGCAGGTTCCTGGGTTTGTTCCCATTTGCATCATCCCCTGAATTTGGCTTCTTGGGCATGATAAAGGCACAAAGGGAGGGAAAGAGTGTGTGGATATGCTTGTGTGCTGGCTCTAGCACGCTCATGTGCAGGGGACAGTGGTACCTTCTTTTAATTGGTAGTTAATTTAAAGGCATTGTGGACACAGGAGCTGTTCTTTTTCCACCTTGTATCTCCCTCAAGCTAGTCTTAGGAAAGGGACATTGGCCTTAGGCAGAAAACCTGTACCCGGAGAATAGCCCTGCCAATAAAAGAGTGAGGTGCCATGGCCAGCAATCTTTTGCTGCACATATTTGAACCCAGATTTGCTTGTTACTGACCCTGACCTCTTGGGAGAGAAAAGCTTTAGCTTTGCCCAGCCAGTATGAGAAATGGGTGAGGCCTACTCTCTGGTCCTTCAGACTGTGGTCTCCTTCCTTGCTTCAAGGGGCAAGAACCTCCATTGCCAGCTCAGATTGAACCATGGGCTCTGACCCATTCTCTTTGTCATTCTAGGAGATACCCTCCTGGCCATCCGGGCCCCCTCGGGCACCAGCCTGGAGGTGCCCATCCCAGAGGTGGGTGCTCAGCTCAGGCAGGCGGGGTTGATTGAGGGCGGGTGCTGGCTGTGGAACCTGATAAGTTCCGGGTGGGGTAGGTAGGGGGAGGCCTAGGGTTTGGGGTTATCTAGGAGGATGGGCAGCTTGAGTGGGAGAGGACACTGGCCCTGACCCAGGGTCAGGCAGGAGCCAAGCCTGCTTTCAGTTTCACCTGTCCCCTCTACCACTCACCTTCAGGGTCTCAATGGGCAAAAGAAGTACCAGATTCACCTAAAGAGTGTGAGTGGCCCCATCGAGGTGTTGCTAGTGAACAAGGAGGCATGGAGCTCACCACCTGTGGCTGTGCCTGTGCCACCACCTGAAGATCTGCTCCAGAGCCCACCTGCTGTGTCTACCCCTCCACCTCTGCCCAAGCCTACCGTAGAAGCCTCACGTCCAAGCAGTCCCCAGCCA